GCTTCAGATTAGTGCAGCTCCAGCCATTGTGGCCATCTGGGGAGTGAACCAGTGGATGGAAGACCTCTCTGTCTCTATCTCTCTCTCTAACTCTGTCTTTCAAATAAATAAAATAAATCTTAAAAAAAAAAAAAACTTAACTGGGGCTGCATAGTGGGTAAAGTTGCCACATGCGGTGTTGGCATCTCATGTGGGCGCTGGTTCAAGACCTGGCTGCTCTACTTCCGATCCAGCTCTCTGCTGTGGCCTGGGAAAGCAGTAGAAGATGGCCCTAGTCCTTGGGCCCCTGCACCCGTGTGGGAGACGTGGAAGCTCCTGGCTCCTGGCTTCTGATCAGCGCAGCTCCAGCCATTGTGAACATCTGGGGAGTGAACCAGCAGATGAAAGACCTCTCTCTCTCTCTGCCTCTCCTTCTCTCTCTGTGTAACTCTGACTTTCAAATAAATAAATAAACCTTTTTTAAAAAAAAACAAACTTTGGTAATTAATATCTCTGGATAGAATGACTTTTTTTTTTTTTGACAGGCAGAGTGGACAGTGAGAGAGAGAGAGACAGAGAGAAAGGTCTTCCTTTTCCGTTGGTTCACCCCGCCCCCGTGGCTGCTGTGGCCTGCACACCACACTGATCCGAAGCCAGGAGCCAGGTGCTTCTCCTGGTCTCCCATGCGGGTGCAGGGCACAAGGACCTGGGCCATCCTCTACTGCACTCCTGGGCCACAGCAGAGAGCTGGCCTGGAAGAGGGGCAACCGGGACAGAAACTGGCGCCCCAACCGGGACTAGAACATGCGGTGCTGGCACCACAGGCGGAGGATTAGCCTAGTGAGCCGCGGCGCCGGCCAGAATGACTTATTTTTATAATCAAGAAACTCTTCCAAGATTAATTCATAAATTCACTGCAACCCAAGTCATAAATATAGGTGTGCGTCTCTGTGCATTTAAGAAACCTAGTAAACCTAGTGTAAAAATTATATGAGGTGATAAAGTTTCATGAAGAGCTAAGTCAGTGTTTAAATAAGAATGGGGGGTACTGGCAGTGTTGTGGCGAGGTGGGTGAAGCCGCCGCCTGCAGTGCCAGCATCCCATGTGGGCACCGGTTAAAGTCCTGGCTACTTCACATCCTATCCAGCTTCCTGCAAATGCACCTAGGAAAGCAGTAGAAGATGGTCCAAGTGTTTGGTCCCCTGCACCCATGTGGGAAACCCTGATGGGAGCTCTAGACTCCTGGCTTCAGCCTGGTCCAGCCCCAGCCATGTGGTCACTGGGGAGTGAACCAGCCATTGGAAGATATCTCTCTCTCTCTCTCTCTCTTTCCCTCTTTTATTCTCTCTCCCTCTCCTTCTCCACTTGTAACTCTGCCTTTCAAAAAATAAATTAATCTTTAAAAAAAGACAACGAAGGAGAGTTACTTTCTGCACCAAATATCAAGACCTACTGCAAACCTTTGTTTTTCCCTGCAAAGCCTTAATGACTGAATATTATGCTGCTGGCGTAAGAACAGACAAATCCATCAGTGAGGCAAATGGAGACTGTAAGGACCCACACATGAGCACACGGAAGTTAATGGGAAAAGGGGCGGCACTGCCACTCGATGGGAGGACAGGCTATTTTGTGCACAGGATAGGGAGAACCAGCTCAGCCCACTGAGAAGACTGTAACCAGGTCTCTGCTTAGCCTGTGCACAGAGGGGACCACACGGGCATGAAAGGTTAAGGAGAAAGGAGCCACAGGAGTCAGAGAAACAAACGTGGGAAGACATCTTGAGTTTCAGGTAACGAACCGAGGCTGATTCAACAAACTTTTAAAAAGCCGAAAACAAAATGCTCAAATTTGATGTTTGATTACATCAAATTATGTTGGGGAGGAAAAAAGAGCACGGGCCAATTAAGAGTCAGGTGGGAGGACTAAGGCTTTCTGCAAGCCTAACGCTGACAAGGGATCACCACCTGGAATAGACCAGCAACTCCGCGAAGCAACGAGAAGGGAGCATCAACTCCAATAGAAAAGTGGGGAAATGATATGACAGGCAATTTGCAGGAAAGGAAACCCCAAAAGCTAATAAGCTCATGAAGCGATGCTCAAACTCATTAGTAGTCAAAGAAATGCAAATTAAAACCAGATACCACTTTACACCTTCAGACTGGAAAGAAAGGCGAAAGCTGGGTAATACCAATTACTGGCAGGAGCGAGGGAGACAGGCTTCCTCACCCTCGGCCGGCCGGTGGGCGTGTGAACTGGGAAGGCCCTTCTGAGTGATCCCACACCACATGGGCAGAATCTCTGTGCAATCGGGCTGCAGCCCAGATGTCCTTAGGCTGTTTTAAGGTGGAGGATGGGAGAGTTAGTACAACTCAGAGATCAAGCAACCAAGAACTACTGCTGTTTCGGATCCTCTTTCTGAGTGGAACAGACGAAAAAACATTCAAATCACTAGCTGCTGGCTGCATCCATGAGGCGTTGTGGCGGAGCACTGATGCCACCCCCACCTGATTGATGGGTGGGCTGAGCCTCCTTGGGGGAAGAGGCGGAGCCTGGGAAGCTGGAGGGGGAGGAGGAGAGCCTGGTGCAGGCACAGACCCCAGCCCAGATGCCTGGGGGCTGTGAGTTGAGGGCATGTGCATCTGACGGCTTCTCTTCTTTAAGATCCGCTCTATGAGTTCTTAACAGAATGTATCACCATTTGGGGAGAACTGTTCCAAATAATTATTTCTTCAAGTTACTATGTTTGAAGACAAGCCTAAATTCCATCCTGTGGAGATGCCCAGTCCACTTGATCCCTCCCCTGCCGCTCGCACATGGACGCCACCTGGTGCGCCGGGGGCTCAGCCCCACCCACAGCAGGCAGGCCCATGGCTCTCAGCACCTTCTGCTCCACGACAGCCCGGGTGAACAAACTCTCCCTGCCCCGGGGGCCCTCTTCCAAGAGCTTCCTGGCGATAGCCCTGCCTATGTGGACCGGCTTCTACTCCCCCCAGCCAAGACAAGCCGCGGGGCAGGGCTGGCGTCCCAGTGCTGTCTTTCCAGGGTGCTTCACCCTCACACACCTCCCAGGATGTGTGCACACACACATGTGCACACAGCAGATACCCACACGGGCTCTTAAAGGTGAACGTGTTTATCCACACACCCATACATGCCCACAGACATGCGAGCGCTTGGTGCAGGCAGACTCCCACTCTCACCTACACATAACCCCCTGTGACGACAGCCACGGGCACGTGCATCCTGACCTGTCTGACCCGTCCAGGCATGGTGCCTCTTCCAGGTTCTCAAGCCAGAAATCTTTTTTTTTTTTTTTTGAGATTTATTTATTTATTTGAAAGCTAGAGTTACAGAGAGAAAGGGAGGCAGGGAGGGAGGGAGAAAGAATCTTCCATCTACGAGTTTGCTCCCCAGATGGTCGTAAGGGCCAGGACTAAGCTCCTGAAGCCAGGAGCCAGGAGCTTCCTCTGGGTCTCCCACGTGGGTGCAGGGAACCAAGCATTTGGACCATCTCCTACTGCTTTTCCTGGGCCATTAGCTTGATCAGAAGTGGAGCAGCCAGGACACAAGCTGGCGCAAATACAGGATGCCGATGTTACATTTACTCACTGAGCCACAATGCCACCTTAAATCCTCCTCAAGCAGGAAATCTTGAAGTCACCCCTGACTGCTCTCTCACGCCCCATATTTCAATCTACTGGGAAATCCTGCCCTTGGACCTTCAAGATGTATCCATAGCAGACCATTCTCACCACTGCCACCTCCAGCACTTGGTGCAGAGCTGTATGCACTACTGGGTGCTGCCACAGGCTCCTAGTTAGTCTCCCCACTGCACCCCCGCCAGGGTCTATTCTCCAAACACCAGACCACGCCTTTTAAATCCCGCTGGGAAAATATCGCGCTCAGACCCCAGCAACAGCTCCGCATCTCACTCAGAACAAAAGCCACGTCCCTACAATGGCTCCTGCCACCTGGCTGGCCTCAAGGCTCCACTCTCTGCTGACCTTGAACTTGCCTCTGTGCTCCCAGCTGGGACAGCTCATCCCTCAGAACTCCAAGTTACTGTGGGTGTCTGCCAAGGCTGTGGAACAAAGCACCACCGACACCGATGGGGTGGCTGACAATAGCAACTCATCGTCTGGGCTTCTGGAGAGCGGACGTAGAGGGCACTGCGTCCCGCAGGCCATGCCCGCTCAGGACACAGCTCCAGTGGAGCATCTCCCTCCCCTCTCCCCGCTTCCTGCGTTGGCAGCAAACCCCTACAGCCACATCACTGGGCTCTGCACTAGTCTCTGCTCTGCGCGATCTTTCCCCTGTTCCTCTGACCCTGTGTTCCTTCTCCCTTCCTACAGACACCAGTCAGGATGGACTGAGCGCATGCCTACCGGGATGGTCCGATCTTAGCTAATTACAACTGCAATAACTCCGCTTCCAAATACGGCCACATCCCAAGGTACTGCAACACACCTTTTTGGGATTTGGGGGGACATAACTGAACCATAATACTCTTTGGGTTTTTTTTGTTTGTTTGTTTGTTTTTTGACAGGCAGAGTGGACAGTGAGAGACAGAGACAGAGAGAAAGGTCTTCCTTTGCCGTTGGTTCACCCTCCAATGGCCGCCATGGCCAGTGTGCTGCGGCCGGCGCACCACGCTGATCCGATGGCAGGAGCCAGGTGCTTCTCCTGGTCTCCCATGGGGTGCAGGGCCCAAGTACTTGGGTCATCCTCCACTGCACTCCCTGGCCACAGCAGAGAGCTGGCCTGGAAGAGGGGCAACCGGGACAGAATCTGGTGTGCCGGCGCCGCAAGGCGGAGGATTAGCCTAGTGAGCCGCGGCACCGGCCTCATAATACTCTCTTGTACCCTTCAAGGCTTTGTTCCAGTGTCGTCTCCACAAAGAGGCCCACCATGATCACCCCACACCATGCTGTGGCACACCCCCAGCCCCCCAGCTCTCCTACTCCTCCCCGCTCAGCAGTAGTCCTTGTTTAGTCCATGGTAGCTACCACCAGGTAACATACCACATGCTTCAACTCTGCGTCTGAGGGCTGCTGTCCACTGTCTGCCTGTCGTTAGAATCAGTCTCACAGGACACCGTCTTGGCTTTGCTCACTGAGGAATGGAGCACACCTGGAAGAGACCAGCACAGCAGGTCCTCAGGGATGTATTGAGGAAGGGAAAGCCCAGTGCACACACTCGTGTCTCACGGGCACACGTGTGTGCAGACGTCCACCACCTAGTGCACCCACGTAGCTCATGGGCACACGCGTGTGTAGACATCTACCACATGGTGCACACACGTAGCTCAAGGGCACATGTGTGCGCAGACGTCCACCACCTAGTACGCACTCTCACGTAGCTCACGGGCACACGTGTGCACAAATGTCTACCACCTAGTGCACACACTCGAGTCTCACGGGCACACGTGTGCGCAGACGTCCACCACCTAGTACGCACTCTCACGTAGCTCACGGGCACACGTGTGTGTAGACATCCACCACATAGTGCACACTCACGTGGCTCACGGGCACACGTGTGCACAGACGTCCACCACCTAGTGCGCACTCTCATGTAGCTCACGGGCACACGTGTGCACAAACGTCTACCACTCTTGGTGGTGTGAAGCAACAGCGCCCCACTCTGCTCACAGCTTCTGTGGAGGCAGAATGTGGGCAGCACACAGCAGGGAGGGCTTGTCTCCCCCCCGCCACTTCTGCGGCTCAGCTGGGAGGGCCCAAGGGCTGCAGGCATCCTCACTCACGTCTGGCTCTTGAGTTGAGATGGCTGGAAAGGCTGGGCGCCCATCCAGCATCTCCCATTTGAGGACCCTCAGGGCCCCTCTGGTGGAGGCCTCCCACTAGCTGGGTTTTGTCCATGGCAGCTTAGGACTCCAAGGGTGTTATCTCCACTCCACACACAAGGCAGAGGCTGTGTGACCTTTATGACCTGGCCTTGGGAATCTCATGGGGTCACCTCTGTCATAATCATTTGGCCAAGGAGGTCATAACCACCACCCCCTCTGGATTCAAGGAAGGAGGAGTCTAGATCCCATCTCTTGATGGGAAGAATTTGAAAGAATTTGCAACTGTGTTTAAAATGCCACACACATGAATGCTTATGTGTACACACACACACACACACACACACACACACACTTAACATACACCCCCCTCCCCGCATACACATTCCTGCATTCTGAGGACATACACAAACATGTGGTTAATTAAAAAATGGAATTAGGGGCCGGCGCCATGGCTCACTTGGTTAATCCTCCACCACCTGCGGCGCTGGCATCCCATAAGGGTGCCAGGTGCTAGTCCTGGTTGCTCCTCTTCCAGTCCAGCTCTCTGCTGTGGCCGGGAGGGCAGTGGAGGATGGCAGCATGGGAGACCAGGAGGAAGCACCTGGCTCCTGGCTTCAGATCGGCGCAGTGCCGGCCGCAGTGGCCATTTGGGGAGTGAACCAATGGAAGGAAGACTTTTCTCTGTGTCTCTCTGTTTATAACTCTACCTGTCAAATAAATAAAATGGAATTAAAAGGTAAGCTTATTTTGGTGCAGAAAAAGTTTGAAATCTGGAGCTGGCACAGTGGTGTATAAAAAAGGTCACGCCCCCACCAGTTCTGCCGGCATCCCATATGAGCACCAGTTCAAGTCCCGGCTGCTCGCTTTTGATACAGCTCCCTGCAGATGGTGTGGGGAAGCAATGCAAGATGCCCTAAGTGCTTGGGTCCTACACCCATGTGGGAGACCCGGGGGAAGCTCCTGGGTCCTGGCTTTGGCCTGGCCCAGCCCTGGCCATTGTGGCCATTTGGGGAGTGAACTAGCTGACAGAAGATGCAAGATCTCGCTCGTGCTCTGTCTCTCCCTCTCTCTCTGTAAAAAGCAATTTTGGAATCGATGCACAGTTTTTTCATACTATGCATTTTCCATGAATATTCCGAGGCCCTCCCCATATGTGCACATGAACACATCTGCAGTACATGCACGCTCATGCAGGCACCCAGATGCATGCATGCATACACACAGCAATGTGCACTCACGGGGGCACAGCCCAAGGCCCTGCCCTGGGGCGCCTGGGCCAGTGCTTGGGACCACACCCTCCAGCTTCTGGCCCCAGGCCCTGGGCCGGGATAGGCCAGACTAGCCCACCGGTAGGGGGTGCGCCTTTGCTCCCCATCAGCCTTCCCCCGTGGCAGGGGCCTGGCAAGAAGGAAAACAAATAACCTTGCGGTGTTTAAATAAGCAAAGTTTTGTGCAAAGCAGAGGTTAATGTACTTTATTGTTCAATGTCATGTTTATAGTGGATTGGTGGAGGGAAAAATGTGATTAATTGCCCCAAAGCCCACGGATCTACAATTATTTGGTTGTTGTGAACAAATAAAGGACTACAGTATTCATCATATTCAAATGAGGCAGCAGAATAAATGATGGCCGGCCGGGTAGGAACAAAACCGAGGCGTGTTCCCGCACAATCGGAAGGCGACTGGCGCCTTGTCAACCCGACGTGGGCGGTGGTGGGAGCCGAACCCGTTTGTCTCTGTAGCGCCAGCGAGGGCTGGCCGACCCTGCAGGTGCCGGCGTTCATGTCACACCTCGCCCCTCCAGCCTGCACGGTGTGGAAACCAGGCGCCAATTTCCTAATAAAGACTTGTTTCCGACGAGGCCCGGCGTGGGGCGGGGGGCACAGATCTTCATTAGAGCCCCTTCCCCAGGCCTCGCTCGCTGCAGAGCACAGGTACTGGCTAAATGTGTCCGATCATTCATCATGATTTTGCCCTCCACTTTGTCACCGCGTGGGGATTTAAGGAAGATAGATGGTACAAGATGTTGTCTCCTCCGCAGACGCTTTCTGCTCTGGTAAGTGTGTCCGATGCAGAATTATTTTGCCACTTTATTATTTCCTAGTGAGTGTTTGTCAGAGCTTCGCCTCTTGGAAGGAGCGAGTTGTTTCCTGTCACTCAGGGATGTCGCGGGAGCCGTGATGCTTGGCTGGGCTCGCCAGCCAGCTGGAACCCGGGCAGGGTCCCCAGGCGGGGCTGCGGGGGGTCCTGGGAGTCTGGGCCACAGGGCGAATGTCGAATCCAACAGAACTGGGGATGGGGGGGGACTCGGGCTTGGGGAGAAGGTGGGGCACAGGGGCTCAGGGGTGGGGAGGTTGCTGGGGGTGTGTTTTAGGAGCTGCCCTGGCGGCAGGCCAGGCTGCTGCATGGGGAGCTGTTTGAATCCCTGTCCAAAGAGCTGTGAGAGCTTGGCCTTGAGTGGAGCCAGCTGGAGAGGGTATGGGCAAGGCTGGGGCCCTGCCGGGCTACTGATGGCCTCGGAGCAGCGCGGCCAATTCTGGTGCCCATCGCTGGCAGCAGATGAGTGCCTTGCCCTGACCACGGTGGCCGAGGCACTAAGTAGTGACCAGCAGGGATCTCAGTTAGGATCCTGAGGAGAGGGGATGCATCCAGCTGAAAGCCCAAAGTCCAGCCAAGCGCCCCAGGTTTCAGCTCCAGGACCTTGAACATGTGGGAGCGTCCTTCCAGGCCACTCAGGGGTGCAGGTTCGGGCCCAGGGAGGAGGGAGCTGCCAGCCTGCTCTGTGGTCCTTCCTCACTCGTGTTCACTCTGCAAGGGCCTCTCACTGGGCTGTGTCCTCCAGGGCCCTGGTGTCTCCTGGCCGTGCCAGCCCCCCAGGCATAGGGGCGAAAAACATGCTTTGTTTTTCTTTCCCTCAGTCTAGGCTGTTCCAAACGGTGATTCCAGAAGGAATCCTCCTGGGAGGTCCAGAGGCAACTTTTGGGGACCAGTTTAGAAGGAGTCCAAGCAGAGGTGCTTGTGGTACAGAACCCAGAGCTCAGGGACCCGGGGACATCACTGCTGGAGTCCCCTGGCCACTTCGTCCCTGTCACTCTCCATCCCTCGAGTCTCTTGAGAGGTGTGGTGATGTGGGACAAAGCACACAATTTGGGGGACTGGCGAGGCCAGGTTCAGGGCTCTCACTCTCTGTGATGACTTTGAGCCTTGGTTTCCCCATCCATAGATTGGGAAAAAACAATGACTTCCTTGTGGCTGTTGTAGGTGTCCCTCCTCTGCCCCGTCCCTGGGTCCTGGCAGCGGGGAGACCCCCATTCACCAGGCCTGGCTGGCTGTGCAGGGGTCTCTGTGGCCCCGGGTTCCTGGCTGGCATCTGGACAGTCTGCAGATGAAGCAACTGAACAGGCTCACCCCTAGGGAGTCTGTTCTCCCACGTCTAACACCCCACTTCCTGTCTCCCTCTAGCCGGCCCCGCTGAGCCCATGCCTGGAAGGAGAGCCCAGTCTTCAGGGGGGGTAAAACCCAGCGGTTCAGGGGCTTTTGCGACAAGAAGCTGGTGCTGTTAGCCAACGCCTTGCCAGGAGGCAGGTGCTGCTCTAGTACCCATGGTGCCCATGTGAAGCCTGATTCCCAGTGATGAGACTAGGTGTCAGTCATTGGGCAGGGCTTTCAATCCGTGAACCTCCAACAGGGGCTTGAGCAGAGGAGGGAGCTAATTGGCTCACTGAGAGAGCAGCTGTGACTGACACCCATGACATCCAATCAGGGGCCCATCCTGCTCATCCTTTCTAATGCCCTCCCCTCCCCCACTTCTGGCCGGGTCCCCATCCAGGTAGGAACCCCGAACCCACGATTCCATGCAGCTTTATGTGGAAGGCAAGCTGCCTTTTATCTCCCTTCATTTATTAGTATTATTGTTGTTGTTTTGCTCCTGGTCTCCCATTCGTTAATTCATTCAGTCGTGCATTATTTGTGCACCCAGAACACTATGTGCTGGTTGCACACTAGCTGTGCGTGGTGAGGTCACATCCAGGCGCAGGTGTGGGTTGGAGGGAGCCGACACTACGGGTTCCTGCGGCCCGCCCTTCTGTGGCTGCACCCTCTTCCCCAGGACGGCCCCCAGCACCCTGTTCCTCCTGTCTCCACATTGCAGCCAAAGAGGCTTCCCCTGGGCAAGGTCTGATGACGTCCCTTCCTACGGTGGAAATCTCCGTGGCTCCCCACCCCAACCTGTTTTAAACCCCAAGCTGGACCTTGGGGTCCAGGCCCTTCCTGGCCTAGCGATGGCCCACCCCGTGTCTGGCCTGTCCTTGGATTCTTCCTTTGACCTGTGGCTCCATGTCAGCCCCTGCCATTGCAGACTGCATCCCGAAGGTGCGGCCAGAGAGCTCCTGGGGAACGTCTTCCGAGAAAGCTGGGCATGGACTTGAAACCCTGCCCCAAACAGATGTACGGCTTAATCTCATTCCCCGCCAACTTCCCGAGGTGGCCTCGGCCTCTCTTGCGAGGACACTGACGTTGACGCTGTTCCCTCTGCTGCTGGAACTTTTCTGGCTTCTGCAGCTGTCCTGATGGACACAGTGCCGGTGATGCCCCGTGACCATGGCGGCTCCGCTGTGAGCCGCAATGGGAGGCCTGCTCTGGCATGCGGTGGTCACACGGCAAGGGGGGACACGGCTGCCTGGGGGGGGCAGGGCAGGGGTCCTGGTCACAGCTTGTGGCTGCGCGAGCCACCATCACCTCAGAGCAGAAGAAACCCTTGTTCTGTGAAAGTGCACAGCTTGTCATGCCACGAAACGCCCAGCCACAGGCCCAGGTGTGCAGGTGCTGCCACGACGCCGGCACAGGGAGGCCCAGCCGTCAGCAGGGTGTCTCGTGGCCTCTCTCCCGGGCTCGCTGACAGCGTCTTCTCCCCCACCGCACCGGTGTCCGGAGTGCCTTTTCTTCAAAGGATACCAGTGACTGCTGGGATAGGGCAATCCCTGGAACAGAGCCGCACTCCACAAACGTTAGCTGCTGCCGCCACGCTAACTGCCTAGCTGCCCCCTCCAGCCCCAGGACTGCACCGATCCCCAGCCCTCCTCAGCCTGCAGCGCTGTGCTCCAGATACCCAGACCCCAGACCCCAGCAGCCGCCGGCCGGGGCTGGTCTCTCTGGTGCCCCGTCCGCGGCTCTCTGCGCCCACGGCTCACCTCTGTGGTTCACACACACTCCCACCGGCTGTGTGGGAGGGGCTTGAGCCTTCACTTTGTTTTGCAGATATAGAAAGAGGGTTTCCCTGCCCCAGATTTTAAGGGTGCTTTTTGCTCAGTTCATAAAATCCAGACAGTATAGAAATATCTTTTAATTTAAAAGAAATTTATTTGAGAGAAAGAGCTCCCATTGGCTAGTTCACTCCCCAAATGTCCACAATGGCCAGGGCTGGGCCAGGGCGAAAGCCAGGAGCAGGGAACTCAATCCAGGTCCCTGGGGTGGAGGGTAGGGACCCAAACACTCGAACTGTTACTAATGGTTCCCACGGTCGACATGGGTAGGAAGCTGGAGTCAGGAGCCACACTGTGGTGTGGCAGGTTAAGCTGCCGCCTGAAGCACCAGCATCCCATATGGGTGCTGGTTCAAGTCCCACCTGCTCCAGTTCTGATCCAGCTCTCTGCTAATGTGCCTGGAAAAGCAGTGGAGGTGGCCCAGGTGCTTAGGCCCCTGCATAGATG